GATTAGCCACAAACACTTGTGGTATGCTGGTTATGAGTGCGTTTGCATAAACAGTTTTGACAGTAGTACTTGTGCAAGGTGAACCCTAACAGCTATATAACCGACTTTAGCTAGCTGTCCCTTCAGTTACTTGTTGTCAAAAGGGAAGGCCCAGACAGTGTGCTACCTCTTAATCTTCTTTTACTCCAGGCAACAAGTTATTAGTGAACTGAGGTACAACCACCCACTAAAACTTGTAGTCCCCAAGGCAAAAGCCATAGAATTCCGTACGCATTTTTCTCACATGCTTTTCCAAGCTCTTTGTATGTAAGTTCTCATGCGCTACTGCTATATAGAAGAGTGTCTCCCTGTACGTTTACCTTACCTCTGTCAGAAGGTGAAGGGAGTCCAAAGTGTAGCTCAAGGTCTCTGGCAAGAGAGTTCAGTTCAACATCTCTGAAACACTGGATCAGTTTCTTCCACGAGTGATCTTCATCTTCTTGTATCCATTGTACATATATCATTCTAACGGCTTCAACTTGGTCACCAAGTGCAGTCTTTGCTATGGCACTGACTATTGCCCCGGTATCATCGCCCAGTAAGAAGGTTCCAATGTCTTTGAATTTCACTGCACTCTCTTTCAATATTCTGATATCTCTCTTGGATGTTGATAGTTTTATCAGGTCACGCAGCCCTAGAATAGAACACAAACACACATCATCATTTTAATTTTCTCCCATGTAATTGGTGAGTGGGAGCGAACAAGCCATTTCTTTCTATCCAGCGATGCCACACATACCGTAATGTTCTACGTGAGTCTGAACAATGGCTAGTCTCAATGCAATATTACGTCACACGTTGCGACAACACGTATCGTCATCGATCCAGCACAACTACGCCTCTACCACAGCAGAGCTCGCAGGAGGCAGCCTCTTGCTTCAGAAACAGCCAAGGAGCACGAGACATAGCTCGCAGGCGGCAGCGTCTAGCAGCTGAGGACTGGAAAACATGCCCTTCTCGCCGGCATCGCACACACGAGAGGCACACCTCCAGCAGCAGAGGACGGCTATGTGACAAACTACACTCCTCCCTGTGATCACCAGTGGCTGTACATCTGTAGTTGGATCGCCCCCGCTCGCCAAAGATGCTTAGCTAATAATTCACGTCAGCTCTGAACTCACCAGGAATGTTGGTAGTAGTGATGGCAGTGGTAGAGGAGGCAGGAGCTGTGGAGACAGAGAGGGGAGGCTGGGAGGTGGGGGGAACTGCAGAAGATGAAGAGGAGAGAGAGGACGTGGCTGACTCAGCAGCTGTAGGGAGAAATAAACAAAAGCATAACAAGACTGTTGGTGGACTAGATTCCGTGTGTTGTCCTAGACTAGTGTAGTTGATTTGTTGGCCTTGGTTTGCTTTTACTGGTCGTTGACCACACCAAATCACGTGGTGGTA